GAGTAGAGAGAGATTAAATTAAGCAATGGAAAGAATGAATAGTTAACCATTGCCCGTGTTGTCATCTTTTGCTAGACCACCGCTACCTACACGCCCTGTGTAAATACTGTAACGCTAAACTCGTACCTAGGTCTTTTCGCGCTGTGCAATTATTTATGGTTTACATATAATAAAGTGGGCTACCCTCGGGGAAATGGGAGGTGGCCGCTTAATAGGGATTGGCCGTTTAATAGAGGTTGGTGTACCTTGAATATTTTTTCACTATCGGGTTATAAATTTAGCTAAATTTCTTAGTAAACATAGAGTCAATTCAAGACAATCATGATAGACATCATTCTCAGAGACCAAGGGGTAGTTAGTGGGGGCGGGGAAAAATTCTATACGGGTCTTCGCCCGAACTTTTTTCTCACCCGTGTAGACTTTTCCCCGCTCCCACTAACTGCTCCTGGGTCTCCGAGGATGACGTCTATAATGTTGTCTTGAATTGACTCCATGTTCACTAAGAAATTTATAACACGATAGTGAAAAAATTTAATTTGCATATTTCTTTGAAATAAAAGGATATTTTGCCAAAAAAACTATTCAGTAGTTTTTGTCATGCCCTAGCCTATCTACCATAGGAAAATGAGCGAAATCGAATTTTCGACCCTTGCCGAGTTATTTTCCATATTTATGGACAGGGACTCGTCATGAGTTTGAAAACTGTCTTTCTCAAACTCAATAACGTTTGGATATCTGATCTTAATTACCATAAATTTTTATAATTTTATTTCTCCCTTTTCTCCTCAGTTTTAGTTTCGATTGAGAAGATATATCAAACACGAAAGACCATGTTTGACGACATTTCCAAACAACTTGAAGTTCGCCAAAAATACTCCGCTGCGCGTCGTATTTTCAACTCTCCTCGAGGTGTTTGGAAATGTGGTCAAACACGGTCTTTCGTGTTTGATAATATTACTAACATACTTGTGAACCTACGAATGGTTACCTACTATTTCTTTGTAAAACAAACCTGTTGGTGTTTCTGGTGCTTTTGTGGTTGTGTTGAGAGGAACTAAAAAAAAAAAAAAACGATTAGACCAGTAGCAAGTTAAAAAAAATTAAATTAAAAAAGCTTCCTTAATGTCAACTAATCTAAAATATTCTCTATGATAGTTGCAAGTTGTTGCAACTCACTTCACTGTAAGCTGTAAATTTTATTGAAAGGAGAGAGATGTAAGCTTAAATAATGGGAGGAATTGTAAACTAGCAATAATAAAAGTGATTCAAGTAATGTAACTTGTAAAAGTGATGCAGAGAGAGCAATGTAAGTTTAAAAAAAGTATTGGTAAAATATACTAAGTGATGTAATGGACAACCTAAACTTCTTTCAAAAAGTTCTTGCACGGTTCAATAATGAGCATAGAGTTAACTTTACAACATCTAAAATACAGCTACTATTTAAGGACTATGATCTTCCCCCAAATACAAGCCCAAACCTAACCCAGAAGTTTGGGATCTTAAGTGTGCAAACACAAAAATATTATTATTCTTACAAAATGTTGGAAAAAACTTTCAATTTTCTTGAATTGAACTCAGCGCGATCTTTACAACATTTGGAAAGCTGAAAAATGTGAAAGTTAAATTAATTGAATTCAATTTACAATATATAATCAGTCTCGATGGCAAAATCAGTTATTAGTGTTTTACTACTATTGTTTTAATATGAATGTAAGAAGCATCAGTAATGGTATTATATTGTAAGTAGTGTAAGTATTAGTATCTTAAGTTAAATAAGCAATTGTATTGTTTTGTAGAGTAAGTTATGCAAATTGTTGTATGGTAAGTAGTATCTGTAATTGCATGGTATTGTCAAGTAGTGTAAGTACTAAAGTAGTGTAAGTAGTTGTATTACTGTTGTAAATAGTTATCACCACCCTAAGTAGTAGTTACATTACTGTAAATTGGGTAAGTAGACGAAGCAGTGTTGTAAGTAGTGTGAATCACAATTAAAGTATAAAAAAAAATTCAAAAAAAAAATTTTTAAAAATCAAACACAAAAGACCATGTTTGACCACATTTCCAAACACATTGAAGTTCGCCAAAAATACTCCGCTGCACATCATATTTTCAACTCGCTTCTCCGTGCTTGGAAATGTTGTCAAACATGGTCTTTTGTGTTTCATATATTACTAACATATTTTACTTAGGAACCTACGAATGGTTAGCAAATATTTCTTTGTAAAACAAACCTGTTGTCCTGAGAGGAACTGAAAAAAAAAACAACAACATTAAAAACATTAACAACAAGACCAGTTGCAAGTTAAAAAAAAAATAAAAAATAAAAAACCTTATTAATGTCAACTAGTCTCAAGTATTCTCTATCATAGTTGCACGTTGTTGCAACTTACTTTATTGTAGACTGCCAATTTCATTGTAAGGAGAGAGATGTAAGCTTAAATAATGAGCAGAATGGTAAGCTTGCAATAAAGTGATTCAAGTAATGTAACTTGCAAATGTGATGCAAAGAGAGCAATGTAAGTTTAAAAAAAAAGTATTGTAAAGTACATTAAGTGATGTAATATATGACCCTTGTTACGGTTTGTTAGTGTCGCATGTGATTTAAATGCCTCCTTTTGTTAAAAAAAAAAAAGAAAAAAAATGCTGTACAGTGTTACAAAATTCCAAATTTCGGCATTTTCAGTTCAAAGCTAAGTAGCTTGCAGTACTGGTGGGAGCTTATTTACAGACTGACACGATGCTATATTTCATGGTTGACTCTAAAATAAGTCTTGTAACATTACCTGGGGGTATTCCACATTTTCCTGGACAACAACACTTACTGGTCAATGAAAGATACTGGTGGCAAATAAAAAGAAAACAAAAATCAGCCTTAGCCCAAGTGAAAGCACTACGTATCACGACAGTAACTGAGAGGATCCTTGCATGCTCATTGGTCCACATCTACATGTATGATCAACTGCAATAAGGGCATTGGCACTTTCCAGGACAACTACACTTACTGGTCAATGAAAGACACTCAGGTCGCAAAAATTCAAACTTGCCCAGAGTGAAGAGATATTCCCAATAACTACCTAGAGAGACTTCTTACATGCCCATTGGTGCAAATCTACTGTATGGTCAATGAGAGCTTTGGTCATGAAAATGACGCAACCAAGCTGTGATGCAAGGAAAAGCAACTTTTGGGATACTTGAGAAATTGTTTTGACTTTTCCAATAAATCCAAACCAATGAGATGTGAAATGCCGTTTCCCATATCACTGGCTTCAAGCATTCAAGCAAAAAAGGTGATTTTATGAGTTGTCTTGCACTTGCAATTTTGCACTGATTTTCTTCCTTGTAAGCACCTGGGTCTGCGTAAGTTGTTATTTGTAAGCCAAACAAATTGACCAGGGTTTTCCCCCAAAAGGGCGGACTCCCATATAAAAGGACGGGGGTGCTCGTCATGCCTTTCAGGGGTTAAAAACATGGTTTGCTACTTCTTTGGGTGTTCAGCCTCAAAAGGTAAACAGCAGGGGCTTTTGTAGCATCTTTTAGGGTTTTGACCCGACAAACATGGAGGGGATATAATGTGTTGTTTTAGAATTGGTACCTATTGGAAGTTAAAACATTTCAAGCCACGCCCACAAAACAGGATCTTGGTACTTTTTAGGGGTTCTTTTCAAAATTTCCAATGAGCGCCCTTAGCCTTTTTATATTGGAGTCCGGCCCCTCTAGAGTTTTTCTATGATCTAAAATGAAACCAGTCTTACAAAGCAAAAAAAAATGACACCACAAAATGTCCAACCATGTGGTTTAAGAATTCACCTAGTTTTTCAACATTCCTTACATCATTTCTACGGTCTCTGTATGGTCTATCAGAGTGTACACCATGAAGAAATAAAGTAGATTTCAGTATTAAATCCTTCTGTATATACCATACGCAATTATGTTTCCTCCAAAATTTGCATTACTTTTCATTCTGGTCAAGAATGTGTTGCACATGGTTTAAATTTGTTACAGGTTGAGATTTGAATCTCAAACCAATTGAAAATTACAGTTTGCTTTTTAAAAGAACTTATATATGCACTGTGGGTGCTTACCATTTGTCAGTAGAAATTGGTTGGGATGACCACTAAATAATGGTAAGGGTTTCTGCAAAATCAGCAAGCCAACCAAAAAAGATGGCGCCAATACCATTTACAATTCAAATTGTCCCGTAATAATATTGTTTATGGCTATTAGAGCAAGCCTGCAAATAACAGTCGGTCATCAGACAATTGTCCGCTAAATTTGAGGTTTTGACAAGTAAAAGCTTAGCCTGGTTGGACACTCTGACCGGGCATTTCTGCTAAAATGAAAAATATTTTAACTGGAAATTTGTGGCCGAATATGGGACAAGTTATTTTGTTATACTGCCACACAATACTACGCAAAAGAGCTTTGTTATCGGTTTTGTTTTTATTCCAGTTCTAAGAATTTTATCACGCACAGTGCGTCGTCTCAAATGTTATGTCGAATTGTACTGATTGTCAACACATCCCATCAGCGCCACTATTCCTACACTAATTTACGCATTTTGCGGTGGCGTTGTGAAAGATCATGAAGCCCCATTTAGTCTGAATTACGCTCATCTGAAAAACTACTAAAAACTGAGGTCTTATGTAATTACTCGCTGTTTGTTGCCACCAAGAGTTGTGAAATTAATTTTCAGTCATACATTGACCCGATTAAAATATCATGGAAATTGAATACACGGCCCAAATACTCACGTTTTGTTTATCTGCATGCAATCGCTTTCAAAAACTTTAAAACCTCTAAAACATAACCAAATATTTTTCTAGTCCGTGTGATCAAAAATCAGTTTAATTTATAGTTTTTTTACGTCTGTCGACTGGTGTGGTTGAAATATAGTTTCCGTACCACATAAATGTTTTTGCGAAAAGCGTGAATGTACAGATTAGTCACACTTTGTAGTCACGACCACCACCAACTCCACATTTTAATCAATTATGCAAATT